CTCTCTCTCTCTCTCCCAACATCTCTCCGCTCATAAACACTCGACCCCACCCCTACCCCCACCCCCCATGAGAGCGAGAGAGAATTCACACTGTGCGTGTGGTGTGAGGGAAAAACGCAAACCCACTAAGAAAACCCCCTCTTCCCATTCTCTCTCTCTAAAACCACCAAACTGATCACCCATTCTTCTCTCTCTCTCTCTCTCTCTCTCTCTTGTTTATAGAGATAGATATATAGATACAAACATAGCTTACCCCATTATGTATCCATAGTGTGTGAAAAGGTGCGCCTTTTGTTGTTATTACACCGTGTATAATCGCTTGATTTGATGGAGAGGCACGGCGGCGCTCCGGCGACGGAGGATGCAACGGAAGCGGCGGAGCACGGCGGCGATACTGGCCTAGAAGGTCAGTTGCGTTTCAATTTCGCGTCAGTATCTCCCCCTGAATTTCCGCGTTAATGCCGACCCGTACTGTGTTAATGCAGAGCCGCTGTGGCAGTTGTCCGTCAGTGGTGGGTCCCAATCGTACCCAGAGCGACCTCAGGAGGCCGATTGTATCTATTATCTGCGGACCGGATTGTGCGGCTATGGCGCCCGCTGTCGGTTCAATCATCCCCGCGATCGTAGCTTTGTCAGGATTCTTGTCCTTTTTCTTTGAAATCTTGGGGCCCAAGTTTCGTTTTTTCTCCCCCTTTGTGGGGTGGGGTGGGGGATCAATGGTTATGTTTTTCTAGGGCACATGTAATTGGGTTGATATTTATGATCACCTTAGGTTTTTGTGTGGATTTGGTGCTGATCACAGTAAAGATTCTGTTTTTTTGAAATCGCCAAGATTTTTGAATTGTGGGTTAAAATCAAGAATTTCTTTTACATGCATTGTTTGAAATTTGTTGTCATACTGATTTAGGCTGCTCGATCTACTAGAGCCAGCATAGGGGAGCTTCCGGAGAGAGCGGATCAGCCTCAATGTCTGGTAAGTTCCCTTTGGTTTCTGAATTCTGTGTGTTCTATGAGTTCCCAAATAATGTGCAATTTCTGGGCATTTATAATGGTTTAGTAGAGTTGAGGTTTTCTTCTTCTTGTTCTGTTGATCAATGATATGCAAGTCGCAAGGTTGTTGTTCTTTGGGTGTATAGTGTTGCTTGGATGATGTTTCTCTTTTGCATTTTGTTCTTGGAGATTTAAGATTCTACCATGCTTGCCAGAAGTAACATTTTCCCTTTTGAGAATGATATGTAAATGGAAGGCTTTTATTCTTTAGAGCATATCCCCCTTTAGTATCTGCTCTTTATTTATGGAGCTGTTCAAATGGAAGTTCCCATGCCACTTTTGAATGCTGTCTGTGGGGCTACAAAAGTACTCACTCTTTAGTTGCATTGTGGGTTATTTTTTGGTGATCAAGTCCCAATTTAGTATTTGGGTTGAAATTATATATAAAAATATCTAGTAGTTCATTCTTTGTCGTGGATGATGTTTCCTTCTTTAGAACGGTTGACAGTGGAAATTGCATCAGGTTGAAGGGTAGCCAATTTGCTATTTTTCCTCAGTTTGGTGGATATCATTTCCATTCTTTAAATGGTGGATATCATTTCCTTTCTTTAAACTGTGAAAGACTGGTTTATATATGAAAAAGGCATTGCTAGTGGAGCTAAAAGATTCTTTACTGACTATGTTTTAGCTTCGGGTAAATAATGGACTACATCAAATTGAGACATGATACACCCTCTTCTTCGTACTTTCTATGAAGTTTTAGGCAGGTAATGCAGCAGTGTGTAAATGGTCTAAAGCAAACAGCCTCTTTGCTTTCGTACAGGGGTAAGGGTGCATAAATATTGCCCCCCCCCCCACACCCCAGTGGTGTTGTGATTCTGCTGGATTTGTTCTTCTAGATCACTGCAATTGATATCATATTTTGCTTGTAGTTGGTTTGTTTCTCATTCACTTTAAGAACCGGCATTCAAGATTCTGAACTTAAGATCTATGTGATTTGTGTTTCTGTTTACTAATCCTTTTTTTCTACTGGGATTCAGCATAATTACTAGTTCTTCTCACTGATAGTTCCTTCAAGTGACTTCGTTCATGTAAAAGTAATCAACTTGCTGAGAAAGTTGTGGTAGTGACCTAGTTTTACTACTCTGTCCTATAAGATTTTTCCGTGCTGCGTTTTGCGCGATCATCATGCCTTTAGATGCCTATTCCATGCAAAAAAAACATTTATGTATACATTGTTATTATTTCAAAATTTAAATTTGTGACATGTGGACTGCAGTTTGTTACCATGAATTCACTGCGTTTTGTTTACTGGATGTAAACTTCTTAGTCCTGCTATGACATTGTGGTTTCTGATCAAGAGACTACTATTGAGAATCTCTAGTCCCTCAATACTTATTTCTTGTTTTTTGTATTCTTCATTCCTTTGTAGTTCTATATGAGGACTGGAATGTGTAAGTTTGGCGTTACTTGCAAGTATCACCACCCAAGACAGGGAGGCGGATCAGCACCAGTGGTGATGAATGCTTATGGATACCCTTCACGACCGGTCTGCATTTCCATTACTTTCACTATTTTTGGGATGATTTATTAAAAGGTCCTAACAGTGACGAACCCCACCCCACCCCACCCAAATTCAGGGGTTGGGGGGGAGGGAAATCTTGGGATTGGCATAATCTAGGGTGCCATTCTCTTTCTTTTACAAAAAGATGGACTCATCATGCCCTTGTTTTAAAGATGAATTATTATTGTTTCAATTTAAGTACGTGCGAAATTCACTAATAGGATTTGTGTGACAGGGCGAAAGGGAATGTTCATACTACGCTAGAACAGGGCAGTGCAAATTCGGAGCCACCTGCAAATTTGATCACCCACAGCCTGCAGCAGCAGCAGCAGCACCATCTATTTATTCAGCAGTCCACTCTCCCTCTTCTGTTCATCAATCCTCTCAGCAGTTTGGTGTAATGGGTCCCACCTGGTCAATTGCCAGGCCGGCCCTTCTTCCTGGCGCATACATGCCCGGAGCATATAGTCATATGTTGTTTCCCCCAGGGGTAGTTCCAGTTCCTGGTGGTTGGACTACTTATCCGGTAGAGATACTTGCAATCACTGTTTCTTTTTCTTGGCTTGAAAAAAATTGGTCTGGGCAGTGTTTGGTAAAGAAGAAAGAATTTCCATAAACCTCAAAAGAGTAAACTTTTGGGCATGCCATATTCTCAAATGTTTATAATCACATCTTTTCTAAGGAGATGAAAAACTGATTTCTCAAGCCTGAGTACAAGAAAGCATTTTCCTCTCCTCAACATAAGACAAATTTTTCCGAGGAAAATAATCTCATTCCCTTTGCATAAGCAAACACAGGAGAAAAAGAAAAGCATTTCCCTTGTACCAAACACAGCCTTAAATAAAAAGACACTAGCTACTAGCCGTCGTTTAAAATTTTGAACATTACAGGCACCTTTAAGTCCAGTTCCATCTCTGAGTAATCAGACGACTGCTGGAGTTGGACAGTTTTATGGATTAACACAGTTATCTCCTTCAGCACCTGCCTATTCAGGAGGTTATATGTATGAAGGTTCTACAGCTGGCCCTTCACAGCTCAGTCCAAGAGAACAACATGCCTTTCCTGAAAGAGCTGGTGAGCCTGAATGCCAGCATTACATGAAGACTGGGGATTGTAAGTATGGGTCTTCATGTAGATACCATCATCCGCCTGGATTGACCGTACCCAAAGCAAATTTTGTCTTGAGCCCTCTCGGTCTTCCTCTACGTCCAGTAAGTTATTTTCAGTTCAATTTATTTGAAAACGGGTGTAAAAATTAAAAAGAAATAAAATTCTATATCAAAAGTCCTACAAAACCAGCAAAAAAATGGCATTACTACATTATTTTATAAACAAATGTGTCATTTGCTTTTTTATTTTTCAGGATGCACCAATCTGCTTACACTATTCACATAATGGGGTGTGCAAATTTGGGCCTACATGTAGGTTTGACCATCCAATGGGAACGCTGAATTACAGTCCATCGGCATCCTCACTTGCTGACATCCCCGTTGCTCCCCTACCTGTTGGATCTTACTCGAGCACTCTGGCTCCAACATCCTCAGACTCAAGGCCCAACCTCATTTCTAGGCCCAATAAGGAAAGCGTCGCTACCCAAACATCACCCAAAACTACTCCTAGTGGCCCAATGGGCTCAACTTCCGGGACAAGCGGGAGCAGTAGTAGTAAGGGACATGGAGGTGAGGTCTCAAAGACCGAATGATCATTTTTTTTCTTTCTCTCTTTCAATATTTTTGATGCTAGTTGCTGCCTAGGAGAGCTTCTTGTCTTTGGTCATCAAACTTCTTGTCTAAGCACACAACTATATACCTACTTTCATCAATGTCCATAAAAATCCATTTTTAAGTCAACCAAATCCCACTTTCCAAATACCAAATATCTGGGGAAAAATCTCCTAATCCCATTTATTTTGTTGTAATCATTGTTGACTCCCTTCATGTCTCACTACCCACACTTCACCTTCCTCTTAATGAATTGAGAACCCACTTGGAGTAATTATGAATACCGAATTCACGTTTTTTTATATTTTGAGCTATAATCTCGTTGCGCGGGAGAGAAGAAAAAAAAAGGCGGACGATTCTCACGGCAAGACGAGAGCTTTATGCTGTGTATTTTGTGTTGTGTTGTTAATGACAGTTGTGGATATGTGAATTTTATGTTGTGTTTTGGATACTTGTGGATATATGAATTGGTCAAAGACTTGATGAAATTATAATCACATACACATTCCATACTGTGTTGCTCTGTATAACATTATGCCTCTTTTTTGTGCACTTGTTTTTGTGTTTCCATTATGTTTGTTTTTTGAACCAGGGATGTTAATCCTCTGGTAATCACCAGAGTCTTGGTGAGATGGGTAAAAATGTAATATGTTTTCGAAAACTTTCTTTTCATTTGAATTTTTTATTTTATATTTTTAAACTTTGACTAAAATATATGGGGAAAAAATTTGTGTTATAATATAAATTTAAAGCAGACTTAAAATATTATATAGTATTTTATACGGAGTATGTGTGTGTGTGTGTCTATATATATATATACTACCTCCGTCCCACTGTCTTTGTTCACTTTTGATTTTTGGAACTGTTCATCTAAGCACTTTGACTCATCAAATTTTCTCAATGTGTAAGCCTAAAAATAGTCATGTGTGATCTTGTTTGATTCGTCTTAACATATAGATTATTAATATATAATTTTTATAATTTTTTAATATACAAATTATAAGATAAAATGGATTAAAGAAGTGCATTGGATGGTGTGCCAAAAGGTAAGTGGACAAAGATAGTGGGACGGAAGGAGTATATATATATATATATATATATATATATATATATATATATATATATATATATATATATATTTGTGTGTGTGTGTGTGGGTATTAATAGTCAAAGAGTTGCATTAATGGTCGTAAAAAAGTCAAATTAGAAAATGCTATAAGAATGGGGGAAGTAATATCTTAACGTAGTTCTAATGTTAAATCTTTAACGATAATATGATACTCTCTCCGTCCCTAAATAAACTTCTCTTTTTGACTTTTTGAGGATTTAAGAGAAGGATATTTTTTTGTTGACTTTCCAAAAATATCCTTGATGTGATGTGTAAAAGTAAGATGTGAATGTAGATTATGAGTAAAAAGGTATGATGTGATAGGTAGGGTATGAAAAAGTAAGAGATAAAAGAAGTTTTTTAAAGGAAAAGAGAAATTTATTTGGGGACAAAGAAAAAACAAAAGAGGAAGTTTATTTGGGGACGGAGGGAGTATATTTTTGCTGAAGCCACCTGTATGTATTGCCTTAATGCCTTCGTTCTTACTTATGAATTACGAAGTATAAAGACATGATCAATTAGTTGTTTTTTATTCTTTGATCAAAGGGGGATATTGTAGAAAGAATGATGTTATCTATATATCACCCAAGTGTACCTCACATCATACACCTATGCTTTATACAGACAAAATACGATTAAACATTGCCATAAAGCCTTGGTGATTACCAAAGGATTAACATCATCCCTGGTAATTAGTGTAGATTAAAGCTTAACTATTAAAAATATGCATTTCAAGTCCAAAACATAAAGTCCCTCATATATGGTTTTTTTTGCCTCATACAAAACCATTAACTTTGAAAGCATGTATCCAATGACATTAAAATAAAAAAAACTACTGAGGCCAGGCAGTATACTAACACAACTACAAGAAGGTTTTGAGAGAATGCCATTAAAAGATACTCAATAATCAATTAGCAATTCTCAAGTGACTGTTTATACAAAAACAAACACAATAATGGAGGGACTGTTTATAGCATTCAATAAAATATTTGTAGGAAAAGAGAAACGAATCAATCTGCCAACAAAAAACAGCCAGCTACACAAATTTTAAGAAAGACATGAAAGATGTTCTGTGTGTATTACAGACAGTATAAGTAGCAAAGACTCATGTCATGTTGTCTAGCTATTAGGTCAAGATTGATAAGAAGGAGCAAGGCATTCATCGACCACATCCGCAAGGTAAGGACTTTCCAAGGCAGCCGCGATTCTCTCTTTGTCGTTCAATTGCTTATTTACTGCACACGCAAAAAAAAATTACAATGCCCCTCGTAACTTCAAAATCCCTTGGACATCAACAAAAATCAAGTATGATCCCAATTCTTTTGGAGTTTAGGAGATACGAGATGTATGACACCAAAATTTGACACAATGTGTTTCACACACATGCACAAAAAGTTATTATCTAGGCCAACCCACAAATAATCATTGTCAAGACATGGCGTGAAACTTTGGTGTCAAACCCTGGTAATCTGGTGTTAAAATAGATTTACCCATTTTTGTCAACACACTTCATAGAGAGTAAAAAGGGAAGTTTAGTCCCTTGAACACCACTAAATTCATGTGCTATATAACTTTATTGCCATTCAAACACACACACACACACACACACACACACACACACACACACACAGAGAGAGAGAGAGAGAGAGAGAGAGACCTGCAGCTTCAGATACATGTGATCCTGGTGCAAGTCTAATATCAACCTGGTAATACCGTAAAAAAATATTATCATTAGAACAAGTTGGGAAGAGTATACTTCATAAAAAAAGGCAAGAAAAAAAACTTCCAAGTTCTAAAGAAGTTAGCATACTTTATAGCGGGAAGGCAGAGACCGCATGAGCTTCACTCGCAAGCATAGGCCAATGATGGTAGACATACTGCAATGCTCAACGGTTGGGGTGAATGTGACCCTGAAACAAACAATTGCTTATTCTGACACAAGATTTTACAGTGTTTTTTTTATAAAGTTGGAAGAATGGTGTGAAACAAATGCATCCCCATCAAGATGCTTTCTTACCTGACATAGCTTCTCTTGTCATCTACTTCAATGGAGTCTTCTGTAATAACTTTCAGCTCTTCTAAAGAATAAGGATGCTCTGGATCTTTTATGTCTCGGATATGATGTATGCATGTTAAAGAGTTACAAAATTCTCATCACTAGAACAAAGCATGACAATGCTAAATAAATAGCTAACAATAACAGGTTCTCACATGCGTAAATCTTATATACTTTTCCATTTTTAGTGACTTCCCAATGCAATGTTCCTTTGTAACAAGAGGGGATTCTTGGTGCTTTAAGATAGCCAGAAGAAAATGTTTATATTGCAAATTGTTAGTTCTAAACTTCTATAATAATAATAATAAACACAGTAAAGTACCAAAACAATTTAAAATCTTTAGTGTGAAGTGACATAACTAGCATATAATTATATTTTGCAATCACTCGGAAAGGATATCAAATATTTCTTCTTGGTCAATTGGTTCCACTGCATATTCATCAACAACAATGGGTGTACATCGTGCTCGGCGTTCCTTCTTCTCATAAATAATGGGGTTAGCATTAATCAATCCAGGTGCCATTCTCGGCCCAACGTGAATAATGGACCACTCTGCGAGACAATTAGAATTAATTCATGAAATCCCCACCTTGTAGGAACTATAATCTCTATAAGCCAAAGCAAGAGCTCAGTACAAAAGTAACAATGACAAGAAAAATGCATGCAATACGACATACTATTTTGGAAAATTTTACTTCAAAGGAACATCTTTACATATAAACAATACAGTTTGCCAGCTTTCTGGCAAAAAGTGACTGAAGAGTGAAGAAATTAACAAAAATAAGGGTATGCTCTCCGGCAAAGAAGAGCTCAGGCATAAATGCTGATTGCTAAATTCCCTGTCAAATGATTATTATTTTCTTTAATTTTCAATCTTCTGGTGCTTCCAACAAATTTTAAAGCTGGAGCTACTCCAGATAATGATGGCTATTTAGTGGTTCCAAATAACAAAATCTGGCAATTTGGAAATTTATCCCCACCCACTGAAAAAATTTGTGGGACGTGACGCATCTTAGATTATATGGATTTTTACCGCACCGGATCATTATTAAGAACTTTTTGTACACTAAAGTATACATAACGGGTTTTCAAAAAAAAGTATACATCACGGTGTATATCAACTACCATTTTTATACTACACGAATTAATATTGTCTGTGTCGCACAAGCAAAAATGTCTACGACACAGACAATGCAACATGGACAGTTTGTCTTTGCAGTTTAGAATATCTGAATATGAGGTGCACTAAGTATGACTCATTTGAAAAGAACAACCCAAAACATGCATGGAGTGTAAACAAGAAGAAAATGTATGCAGTGTTATTTAATAGAAAAAATCAATTTAAATGTCCACTTATTTCCAAAGAACTTTTAAATTACCACAATAAAGAAAATCATGATATTAACTTCTTCAGGAAAGAAATATATGAACATTAGCGTAAACAGAACACTCTATACAAGTAATACCCCCTAATACAACAATAGAAAGGTATTCATAAAACATGAAAGCACATTCACAAAGCCCAAATAATCCCATCAAGCATTCTAATGCTTCTATGCAATAAGTCTGATCTTGAGTGTGTCAAAGGTGTGCAAAAGTACAACATCCCAAAATTGAGGCTCCAATAGAAGGTGAAATTCTGCATTGATTATGATCATTTTGTTGGTGAACCGGTATCAAAATGGGAAATAGGAAATACATGTTGGCCAAGCTAAAATATAAAATGAATTATGTATGGTATCTTAACTCTTGGACATGGGCTTTTACTTCAATATTTCTTCTAACTATTTATTACAAAGCTGAGCTCACACTATAATCTACGTAGTATAAATAAGAATACACTCATTTCACTGAGTTTTTGTGAAAAAACTTTCTAAGAGTTTGTGGTAACTATCGTACTTCAAACCTCAACAACAACAACAACAACCCAGTTGGATCCCACAACAGTAGGGTCTGGGGAGGGTGTGTGTACGCAGACCTTGCCCCTACTCGGAAGTAAGGAGGCTGTTTCCAAGAGACCCCCGGCTCCACCTGCACAAAAATATGGAAGGGAACACAATATAGCACATATAAAGCGCCAAGTACAAGCAACAAGTACAAGCCATAGCAAAAGATTCTAAACAAATACAACACACTACAAAACAACCTCTGCAACACTGAGCTCCTATCCAACTACTCTAATCCTAGTTTTCCAAAGGTTCCTATCTAAGGCCATATCCTCAGTCAGGTCGAGAAGTCCTAAATCCTGCCTAATCACCTCCTTCCAATTCTTCCTGGATCTACCCCTTCCCCTACTACCCCCGATAACCGTAATCCTCTCGCATCTCCGTACAGGGGCGTCAGCATCCCGCCGTCTCACATGGCCAAACCATCTCAACCTCGCTTCTCGCAACTTATCTTCCACTGGTGCCATGCCTACCTGACATCGAATGACTTCGTTCGTAATCTTATCCAACCTTGTCTTCCCACACATCCATCGTAACATCCGCATCTCCGCCGCATGCAAACGACACACATGAGTCTTCTTAACCGCCCAACACTCCGCCCCATATAACATAGCAGGTCTGACTACGAATCGATAGAACTTACCTTTCATTTTGGGCGAAATCTTCGGATCACACAACACCCCTGAAGCTAACCGCCATTTGGCCCAAGCCACTCCAACACGGTGTCCAACATCCCCATCTAACTCCCCATCAGCCTGGATTACTGAGCCAAGATATCGAAACCTGTCTACCTTAGGTACTAGATGAGAGTCAATCCTGACTTCAAACCTCATGGCCTAAAATTTTACTCCCTCCATCCCACAAAACCTTTCTCGTTTTGACTTTCAAAGGATTTAAAAGGAGTGTATTTTGGTGTTAACTCTCCAAAAATGCCCTTGAATGTGATGGGTAAAAGTAAATGTGATGGGTAGATTAATAGGGAAAAAGTGTGATGTAATAGGTAGGTTAAGAAATTGTAGGGGTAAAAGTGACTTTTTAATATAAATAAGAAAGGTTTTTTGGGACGGATGAAAGAAGAAAGAAGAAAGGTTTTGTGGGACGGAAGGATTAGTTTTTTTTCCTTCAAACGACCACCGGAATATCACTACCGACCCTGTGTGTCACTCTGCTTTTACTTTATATACTGACCTTAGGCTTACAAAACCATCAAAAAAATGCAGATTAGCATCTGTCCTTATATTTCCAAGAAGATTATGGTGAGCTCCAATTCTTCTTATTAAATGTGAAGAATAAAGTTGCAGCCTGGTACACGGGCAAGGATTCGAGTAGGGTCCCGCCATAGAGGTGTGATGTAGTCAAATATTGACTTGTATTTTACAAGAGGCTGGTTAAAGGACTGGAGCCCGCGGCCTCAAGGCTATACGACTAGGCGGCTACACCTCGATCAGTGTGAATAATCTCTTCCAAAAAAACAAAGACCGGAATGGCCAACAAATTACAAAACTTTGAGAAGAAACACAAACTTCTCCCATTTTTGTTGCCTAAGGTTTTTAGGATGATATTTAGTCTGTTTTTCTTTCAAAGCTCACAGGAGAGATTCTCCAAAACCATCCACCAATGACCAAACTGCTTTAGATGTCTTCTTTTTTTTCAAGTTTCAAATTTATTTGATATCAAAACCAAGTGAACTAATCAAAGATTTTAGGCAATTAATTGAACTTCCCATGTTAATTAATGAGTAAAGAAAATTTAAATTTCCAAGGTATTTAAAATAAATCGAAAAATAAAAAATGGGTATCCAATCCAGCACCACACAATCTACACCCATTAAAAACCTGAGATCAAACTCAACCAAAAACATCAAAATTTAAATCAAAATCTGCAAAGTACAATTGAAACAGCAATTAAACCATTAAAAAATCAGCGGATTGGAAAAACATAAAAAGAACGGATTGGGTTCCGGTTACCTCGGAAGATGGCACAACTTCGGAGCTTTGGGTTTGGAACAAAGAGATGTTGTGAATAGCGTGGGAAGTCTGGTTTCCGATTGCCTGGGCGGGAGCTGCCACCGGCCGACTATGGAGCTTTGGCCTTCCGAAGGAGATGGAATGTTTCCGGTTGGCCTGGCCGTTTATGGGTGTTTAGGCCTTGCGGGCTCGAACATTAAGCCCTTAGCCGGCCCGGCCCATATGTCAGCCTAAGGGCAGAGAGCGATAAAGAGGTGCAACGAAACTATTTAAAATTAGAGATAAAGTTATTTTTCAAATTATTTTATATGAAAAAAGATGTGAAATTTAAAAATAAAAATTGTATGTTTAAAAACTTATAAAATTAGTATTGACATGATTATATTTTTTATCAAATGATTATTAAAAATAGGGAAAGAAAGTGAATAAAGTTTGATCATGTAAATTATAAACAAATAATTTAATTTGAGACGGAGTGAGTATTTATTATTTATTCATATCAACTACCAATAGTTTTAAATTGAATTCCCTCCATTACCAAAAAAAATTATAGTTTGACTTTTTTTAGTAAAATGTACAACAACACTCTTATTACAAATTAAATATAGTTTTAAATAATTAAATTTTTCAAAATTTTGATACTCCATCACAAGTATATTTTGAAATGAGCCCAAACTTTCTAAATTTATACTCACTCCGTCCTAAAATATGTGTCACATTATGCAAAATAAAATGAAATTTCATTTTTTAAATTCATTTTATTTAAAGGTTGGTATAAGAAATAAAAAAACAAAATTTACATATTCAAAAACTATGACAAAAGTTCTTCAAAAGAAGACATGACAAGAACATTTTATTTTATTAAATAACCGATGAAAACGTACAAATAAACAAAATTTTCCATGATTTTTAAATAATGAATCCTGTCATTCTTTTTGGAATGCAAGAAGAGTAGAAATTAATTTTTCATAATTTATAGCCAAAGTGTAACATAATTTGGGTAAAAAGTCAAAATGTAATTACTTTTTTGGGAAGAAGAGAATCTTACTATATACAATGCTAAGAGGGCATTGTGAACAGTGTTCCCGCCCATTTTGGCGCTACAGTAAAGGGCCGGATGGGCTGGGTGCTTTTGGGCCGAAAATGAGACCACTTTTGGCAGCTATTTTTAGGGTCTAATCCACTAGGTGTGAGGCTTTATAAAGTAAACAAATGAGGCTTTATTGAGCCAAGTGACACATCAACTTTACATCACACTTTACATCAAATCAAGTAATCAAATAGATTTGCACAATCCAAGCATTTAATGTGCTTTCAATTAGTTGATTCCCAAAGCCATTATATATTCACTAAAACCGAATTGCTAAAACACACTAATTCCTTCTTCCACCATATTTGAGTTCTTTTGCTTCCTTGAGATGGCCGAAAATTCTCAAAGAAATTCTAGGACAATGTTTACTCCGATTTCCGAGCTTGACAACAACCGTACATCTTGGATTCTCAAGTTAAGGGCTATTCGTGTTTACTTTGTTCCAAGGTGGGCGAGAGGCGGAGATTCTATGGAGATCGTCTTTCACGTTGAAAACGGTAGGAAATAGTATATTTCTATATTTGCATAATCGTACATGAAACTTTCATTTCGGAACTTATATATAATAAATTTGTTATTTATCGAATACGAAAATGTCATACATGTACTGCATAGAGAAAATATTAACCACTTTAATTGTTCAATTTAAATATGCAAATATACATTTTTTATACATTCATAAAAAACGTATATTAGTCTTTCCCTCTAACTTACACATTTATTACTCTATCTCCCAACCAACCTCTTATTTGAAGTTGATTTTGAGCATTCAAAGCTAGAATTAAATTCTTCCTTTCTTTATAGGAGTAACAAGCATGTTATTGAAGTATTATTGTTAATGTTCCAAAAATATGCTTTTAGTAAATTATACAAAAAAGCCGTGGACGAAATAAGCTACCAAAATTAAAATTTTGTTTTTAAAAAATAACACATTTAAGTTATACACTGAAAATATACTGTTTCGAGATTTGAATCAAAAAATATTAATTTGTTGTGTTTCAATTGATGAGATTATGGGATTGAAAACAGGATACCTGAAGTCCTCTCTCCCGCGCAATGAGAAAGCTTACGAAAACTGAAAGAATATGGTCAATGCATGATTCAGAACAAGAATCAGACAAAGGTAAGTTCTGATTTAAAATAATTAATCAAGTAATGAATAAACTAATATATGTATTTTTAATTATATAGCTATATTTATATTACCTGTTTTAAAATCATGCCAGCTTTGATAAATAAGTCAAAATTTAATATCCTGCAAATACAAATCAATGAATGTGCAATTGAATCTTTAACATGTTCAACCCTTCAATGAAACATGTTCAATAAGATTCAATGACTTTAATGTCTACTCCCTGTTTTGAGATTATTATTATTTTTTAACTAAAACATGTTACTACCTTAATCTACTGGAAACATAAATTTAAGTTCAGATTTTGATGTAATTCATTTTTTATGATAAAAAAAGAACTGTAGAAAATATAATCGTAATACACACAACTTTAAATACTCAAGTCATTAATTTCTATATTTAAGTATTCCTTTTAAGAAATATTTTTATATAGATTTGATTCTAGCAATATGTAACAAAATAAAATCTATAAGTTTTTTAAAGGATTTAATCAGAGAATTTAATCAGGGAATTTAATCAAAATAAAATCTTGAAGTTTTTTAAAGGGTTTAGGGTTCATAAAGGATTTAATCAGAAAATATTTTTAAAGTTAAGAACTACATCAACATTTTTTAATCACTAAAAAATCTAAATTGCAGATTTATAAATAGAGTATAATCAATCAAATTTAATATTTTTTTGTCAATATGAAATCACAGATCTGAAGTTTTAAGAACAAATTTACAATGCTCCTAGAAGGAAGTTTCCTGAAAACAACTAAGAGATCCTATGCATGTGGGCTTAGTAACTCGAATCATATTAATAAAAAACAGATTTTACCTTTTAAAATAAAATTTCTAATAATACACATCAAGGAACATGCATGTGGGGTGAAGATCTAAACATTAAACAGAGAAGAAGAAGGGAAAATATACG